TCTCGTTTTATTTTATCTTTTAAAGCTGCTATTGTTTAATAACTCTTTATATGGGTTTTCTACTTGTTCTTAATGGAAGTCTGATACATTCATTCCCATCAAAAGAGCGTCATGTGTGTAGAACTAAAGAGCACTTGTGCTTTCCAGGAGTGCTGTCACAGAGGCCCACTCTTGGCCACATTTTCCGTTTCTCCTGCTGCCCACAACACTCAGCTCTTGTCTGCTAGACTACTCTCTAGCTTGGACTCTTTGCAACTCTCTTCAATTATCAAAAGTTAGTGCATTTATCAAGTTAGTTCTATAGAAAATATTCAGACGTGTTATCTATACTTTTATAATAACATCACACATACACACTGATATATATATATATAATTTAAGCATCCTAGTGGTACATTGGTGAATTTCTCACCCAAACTGGTTTGAACTCAGCAACTGCTCAGTGGGAGAAAGGATCTGGTGATCTGGATCCATACATATTTCAGCCTGGGCAAGCCTATCCGGTAGTTCTCTATGCCCATTGGCTAGTATGCATTGGGGCGGACTCAGTGCCATACAAGAACAACAACAAGCAATGTGACATAAGATAACCTGTTGGAAGACTGTGAAGAAAAGATGAAATAATTGTTCATGACTTAGTTGTGTTTGGGCAGAATGTGAGAAACATTGAGAAATCATCTCATGAACATCTAGACAGTACTTTTTCATCAAAATTGCTTTCTAAGTATCCACATTCTTGCTTTACCGGACTTTCTGGCATCCCATCAATGCCGATTCTAGCGACCCTCCAGCACAGACATGGTCCAGCTGCCCGGGTGGGTTTCTGAGACTGTCACAGGAGTAGAACGCTGCACCTTTCTCCCCCCGAGCAGCTGACCTGGTGGTTACAGCACAACGAGTGGCTGCTACTCCACCAGGGCTCCTGGCTCCCCTTACGGTAATGACATTGAAAATCTCATTCTACCAGTGTGGTTCATGCTAGAACAGAGGAGCAACTTACCACGTTAGGAGCCGTATGCAAAGATAAATCCTTATTCCTGTTACGCTATTGATGCATGGATGTACAGATGTTTTTTCAAGGTAACAAAGTGCCCACGTTAAGCCTTTGTCCAGTGGTGTAGTGTCTGCTTTGGCGGTCACTCTCCGGAACGTGAACCAGTGACTGGTCAGGCTGCATTTGAGGGGAGGGTTTTCCCTCTTCTTCTAGATCCGCGAGTGGCTTGTATCCTGTCCTTTCACAAATCACTTGCAGACTTTTTAATTGAGCAATTAAAAGTAAACCTACATTTGAGTTATATTTTAGGTAACGGCACTAATTAAAATCAATAAATTGAGTTGATATATTTTTATTTACTCAGCTCACAAGGGCCGCTTCTAGTTGGAAATAACAAAGCCAGAAGTTGGGCAGAGAGCAGATCATTATCCAGTGACACTTGCTCATTTCCTAGCAATTCCATAAATTATACAGATTGTTTATTTGCATCTAAAAATCCCCAGATATTTTTCCCTCTGTTTATTTTATATTCTATAAACTACGGATGAGAGTTGAGTTCTTTTTATTAAATATTTATAGGAAGTGTAATATGAACAGACCTATCAAGGTAAATAAAATTCATTTCTGCTCTGAAGAAGATGCTAATTCAGGAGGCTATTCCAACATGCAACTCTTGTAGCACAAATACTCTTGGTGATTTATGGGCATACATTTGCCAATTTAACACTATTCATACGGTGACATAATTAAATGATAACTAAAAAACTGTGAACTCTCCAGCCATTTGCTTTTACACTGATGTAGAACCTAAGGGGGAAGGAAGAAGCAGGAGTCATTGGCATGGGTTTGGTCTCTAGCAAATTGGAGGAAGCCAAAGCCAAAGACGAAGCTCACTGCCCTTGAGTCGATGCTGACCTGCAGTGACTCCGTAGGATGGGGTGGAATTGCGCCTGTGAGTTTCCCAGGCTGTCACTCTTGATGGGGTCTTGAGTACTTTTATTGGGTCTCAGATTACAGTGCCCTGGCTCTGCGCCTATTGATTTTATTCCGATAGCATGTGCTCATCGGCAGTTGTTGCGGTGGAGTCTGTTCTCACCCACAGTGGCCTCCTGGGATAGAAGGGAATGCCCCCACCCCCCCAAGGTGAGGGGGGTGTTCTACCTTGCAGTCTTGATGAGAGCAGACAGCAAGGACTCTTCCCCTGCAGAGCATTTCAAAAAGCAGCTGAGCACTCCATCGTTTCCTCCTTCACTTCGAGTCCCTCAGACGGGCGGAGCTTCGACCCCACCAGTTCCCTCTCATTGACGGACGCTACTTCTGGAACTTGACTTGTTCATTGTGGCTCACTCTACCCGAAGTCCAAATAGTATCTTCCTGTGCAGACATACCGCAGGCATTAGGGCCTGGTATGTGGGCTCCGCGGCTTGTCTCCGACTGCAGTGTACCATCTGCTTCAACCTGAGCAGTGTGTGTTCTCTTAGCAGACTTTACTGAAGCAGCCATGGCTCAGAATTAAAAAAAACAACAAACCCTTGGCATAATATGCTTGCTTTTGAAAAAAAATAGTAATTGATCATGCCTGCTGTAGATTTTAAAATAAGCATTTGAAAGGATTCCCAAATGCCTCTTTTCAACACATTGGTCTCTTTTTCATCTGTGAGCATAATAACCAGTATTCCGGTTGGGTTATTGGTAACATTGATAATGCGACGCATGTTTCGGTTTTATTTAACTGATTGTAGGTAGAGTCAACAATAGGATGGGTAATGTGCTGTTAAATACAGCTTGGTGATACATTACAAAATGCTTCCTTCTCTGAAAGGAAGCTTCTCCCTCATCTCGGAGGAGAGGGTGCTCTGTGTGTAACGCAGAGGTGAGAGGAGCACATGGAATGTCTGTCACAGGCTGCACGTGAGCGTGTGCTGTGTGCAGCTCGGCCTTTTGTGAAGTGGAGATAATGGTTCTTGGAGGGGTTGAGGAGATTAGACCAGGGTCGATTTTTAAAAAGTGGATAAGCGTTCATTTTGCAATTGTATACTGAGTGTGCCAACTGTGAATGTCACTCTTCAAGCGACTGTGGAGAGAGTATGGACGGAAGGAATCCTGTTCCCGCTGCTGGGAATTCTCACGTGCTTGTCCATTGGCAGAAATGGCAGGGTGCGTGTCAGATGGGGAGTCAGTGCCAAGGAGAAAGTTGGGGCAGCTGATGTCGTGGATCGTGCTGTTGGGTGCTCTTATGGATATGGTTGTCAGGGAGAGCTCATCTTAGTGAGCACATCTGAATAACAGGAGGAAACAAGTCACACAGGTATGAGGGGAAGGAGGTACCAGATGGCGGAGGGAGCAACGTGGTCATTTTAAGAGCTGTGAGTAATGCGTATTGGCGGACCCAAGTGGGAAACGGGTGTCAGAGCAAGAGACTGAAGAGAGAGATGGACCCCACACATCATTGTATAGCTTTCCTGGTAACTAATTATAGATTTTAAAAAATCACACCCTCACAGAAAGTGGAACTTAGTATTGGCCATTTCCACTGTTTTAACAATTATTTCCTATTTTACCATTTTATTTTTCACTAGCACAAATTCTGATGCATAGAGACCCTAGGGGGCAGGATAGATGTGCTCCTTTGTGCTTCTGAGACGGTAAATCTTTACAGAAGCAGACAGGCTCACCTTCGTCCTGAGGAGTAGCTGGTGTGATCAAACTGCTAGCCATGAGGTCAGCAACCCCTCCTTTGGTGTGACCTTGGGATCCTTAGGCGGGGCTCGTGCCAGCTTTCCCATCGACAGCAATCTTCTTTCTTTGGGTGTACGCCATTGTGCCCTGTGCTTGACTAAATGATGGCATTTGAAAGCACAGCCCTCCCTCCACACCAGCCCACCTGTTCAGAACCTGCAAGGAGTTAGGCTCTGACTTAGAGGGAAGAGCCCACAAAAGACCATGCACAGCACCAGGCCCAACGCCAACCGTAGCTCTGGAGAATTCTCAAGCCACACTGGGATGTGATGGTTCACTAGAAGAACTCATAGATCTCTCTGAAAGCTTCTATGCTCACCCTTCTGCTTTCTGACAGAGAAGAGAGAAAGGGTAAGCATTACTTAAAGGAGAAGGAGGTTCACAGAGCCCTCTGGAAAAGGTTCCAAATGTTACATCTCCCTTGCCCCGACGACGTGTTACCTTCCTAGAACTGATGTGTCAAACCAGGAGCTAACGCTAACTTTGGTGTTAGCATTTTGGTGGAGGGTTCACGATCTAGGCAGCATTGGTTGATTTCCCATGTGGTTGAACGAAGTCTTCGTGCCCCTTTCCTCCTGGAGATCCATCCGGCTGCTATCACATGGCCTGAGGGGTCCACCAAGAATCCTGCATCTGCAGAAACCAGCTGGTATCCATAGAGGGGCCTCATCTTAGTAAGCACCATACCCAAATCGGTCAGAAGGGACATGCCAGGGGCAGGGCACAAAGGCCAGCCATCTCTTGTACCAAGGCCCCATCCCCTGGTTATACATTGTTATACACAATCCAGCCGCACAGAAAGTAAAGGGTGCCTGGGAACCTCATCTCTTAGGAACAACCAGTGCTATAAATTGGTTGTTCAGCACTGGTTGAACATGTGTTCATGCTCCACCAGGTGTTTAGTGTATATACAAGTAGCACCTTAATAATGCATGTGGCATGATCCTGTACATATTGTTCATTTTGCCTCCTTTCACTTCACGTGTATGTGGATGTGTGTGTCTGAATGAGTTCTCTGAAATTGAACAGTGGGGTTCACTTCCCCATGTAACACAGAAGGCTGTGGCGAACATCCCTATACACGCAGTTGTATATCGTTCTAACTTGTCTTCTCGAAATACATTTCCTGGCGTAGAATGACTAGATCAAGGGCACGGATGTTTTGAAATGGCCTGTGTACTTTCTTTGTTCTCCTATTGGTGTGTATTCTTTGAAGTAGTTTACTAGACATCTACCAACTCTTCTTCACAACTGTTATCACCCCTAGGTAAGCACTGCAACTTCTCCCACTTCAAATGTGGACTATGGCCACCTTCCCCATCTCAGCCCAGCTGTGATTCCCACTCCTCAAAAAGAATCATGTGTATTGTCCCCAAATCATGGGAATGTGGAAGCACTTACGGGGCCTGCAACTCCACACGTCAATGGGAAGCCTGCGGGGGATGACTTTGATCAGCTGCTCAGAAGTATGGCCCAGGTAAGAGCACGACTCCCCTTAGTCAGGAGAGAAAACACTCGGTGCTGAGCCGGCGGTCAGGTCTCTGCTGTGTCTGCTGCGCTGGCAGAATATTGTCACGTTGTAATGCTTGAAAGAACAGGAATGGAAAAAAATATATGGGGTGGGGGCGCTTCAAAAAGTGTGTGGAAAATGGACTAAAAGAGAATGGAATTTTCCCATAAATGTCTTTGAAGTCTCCCGGCATATTTTGTGGGAGGTTAGAATGGCTTGGAGATTCTTTGATAAATTTGTGTTTCTCCTGATGATGGGCTGAGGCCTCTAGGCACCCTCCAGAAATGTGATTCAGGGTAAATTAAATGTCCCGTTTGGATGATGAACCATTAAGTTTATCGGAGAAGTTTGTTTATTTGTTTATTTTAAACCTGATAATGCTGCTCATAAGTTTATTGTCCCTGTAGTGTGTGACTTTTAAGTGCATCTCCTGCTTCGTTTCCTGAACAGGGTCGCCATGTGGAAGTTTTAGAGCTCCTCAAACCGCCAAGTGGAGGCCTGGGGTTCAGTGTGGTAGGACTGAGGAGTGAAAACAGGGGAGAACTGGGAATCTTTGTGCAAGAGATACAGGAGGGCAGTGTGGCTCACAGGTGAGACTCACAGCATCTCTTCTGGCTTTGTGGCCATGGGCATCCTCTCGCCATGGGGAAGATTGAAACAAAGCAAAAATCAATATAAATAGACCAAGACAAAGTGGGGTAGAGTTCGTCACTAACCGGTTTTAGTCCTTGGGTGCTTCACCTCAGTGCTAGACAGCTATGTGAGAGGCTGTAGGTTCAAGTCCACACAGAGATGCCTCCGAGGAAAGCCTGGTGATGTATTGCTGAAAATCTAGCCCTTGAAAACCCGCTGGAACGCGTTTTCTCTGACACACATGGAATTATCATGAGTTAAAGCTGACTCCATAGTGAACTGGATACACTGTACTAATTAAACTCCCTGCCATCACATGGAGTCAGACTCCTAGCCACTCTACAGGACAGGGTAGAACTACCCCCTGTGGGTTTCTGAGACTGTAACTCTTCATGGGGGTAGAAAGCCTCATCTTTTTCCTATAGAGCAGCTGGTGGCTTTGAAGTGCTGATCTTACAGTTAGCAGCCAACCTATAGCCCACTAAACCATCAGAGCTTCTCATTGTAGCATGACTGTACTAAAAACAGCAAGTCCTTTGAAATAAGGATGGCTTGTAAACAGAGTCACAACTTTTTAGCAAGGAAAGAAAGGTTGGAGTAGAGTATTATTTTCACTGTTATTAGATGGTTCTTTAATTTTAGAGTTTTGAAATGATTTTATAGAAAAAGACAAATGACCGGCGGTCGTTGGAGCTATCTTTAATGAATCTGGTCGGAGGGTCCTGGTGGCGGTCTGGCGCCCCATGACGAGCTGCCAGCCACATGATCGCAGTTTGTGCCCATCAGTTGGGAATGAGGAACCTGTCTATGCCTGTAAAGAGTTAGTCTCAGAGTCCCAGAGAGGGCGTTTCTGCTCTGCCCTGCAGGGTCTCTATGACTCGGACTCGTTTGGTTTTTAAACTTGGGTCAAAGTACCAATTAAATATAGGCATTTATTCTTTCCATCTTGGAGAGACTCTCATGGCCCAACTGATGAAGTACTTGGCTGATAACCAAAGAGTCATAGGTTGGAATCCACTGTTCTGAGGGAGAAGGATGGGGCGATCTGCTCGGTGTCCATCACAGCCTTGCTCCCCGTTGGTGTGCGGTATATGTCCTAGCTTTGCTATGAGTTGGAATTGACTCGGTGGCAGCAGGTACTTTTGTTTTCAGAAGGCTGGTGCATCCAAGATCGGACGTACAGATTGAGTAAACTCAAAACTCACTGTCATCAGTCAGTTCCAACTCACAGGGCCTCTAGGAGTGAGCCGAGCTAGTAACTGGAAAATAACGCTTCTGAATGGGAAGGGTTGATTAGGAGCAAAAGGGTTGATCACCTGGAGACAAAACTTAAAGATATGAGCTCTGGACCCATGGGATCCTGGACAGATAGACCCCTCAGGAACAGTAGTGGGAGTGTCCATACAGTGAGGGGAGGAGGAAGATAGGGGGTGGGGGATGGAGAGAAGGGGGAACTGATCACAAGGTTGGATATATAACACCCTCCATGAGAGGACAAATAATAGAAATGTGGGTGAAAGAGACAACAGGTGGTATAAGACATGAAATAAAAACAACAATATATAATTGATCAAGGATTCACAAGGGTGGGAAGGGGGGAGGGAGGGGAAAAAAGGAGCTGATACCAAGGGCTCAAGTAGGAAAAAAAATGTTTGGAAATGATGACAACATATGTTCAAGTGTGCTTGATACAATTGCATTCTGGGTTGTCATAAGATCTGTAAGAGCCTCCAACAAAATAATTAAAAAAACAAAACAAACTGCAGGAAATGATAAGAAGGGTGGACATGAGAAAACTGGGTTCAAAACCACCTGACTGTGTGTGCCAACATCTCTCACATTTCCAAGAGCATTGCCGTCTGTTTTTCCTCTCTCTCATCCTTGATAGGGATGGAAGATTGCGGGAAACTGATCAGATCCTTGCTATCAATGGGCAGACACTTGATCAGACAATTACCCACCAGCAAGCTATCAGCATCCTTCAGAAAGCCAAGGATAACGTCCAGCTAGTTATCGCCAGAGGCTCCTTGCCTCCGCTCATGAGCCCCGCTGTGTCCCGGTCTCCGTCTGCAGCCAGCACCATTTCCGCTCACTCCAACCCGGTGAGTGCAGGAGCTGCCGGAAAAGAAGAGAAGCGTTTGTTTTGCTGTTTTTCCTAGTTCCTCCTCTTCGTCAGCAAGTCTCCAGTGCCTGTGATCTCTTGATACTTCTTGAGTTTCCTGCTTGATTCTTTCACCTGCCCTTACCCTGGAGTGTTTGTTATTTAATCATAATTAAGTGTGCAGTTTCTGGAACAACCTTTGCCTTTTGTTGTATGCAACGTGCAGCATGACTGCATTTCTTGAAGACCCTACAGCAGTGGTTCTCCACCTTCCTCAGGCCGCGACCCTATGGTTGGTGACCCCCCAACCATAAAGGGATCTTCGTTGGTATTTCATAACTGTCATTTTGCTACTATGATGAATCGGGCGACCCCCAAAGGGGTCGCGACCCACAGGGTGAGAACCGATGATCTAACGCTTTAACAAAATCGACTCTCTGTAGAGATAGAACCTTGATTTTGCTCTGTTTAGAATTATAGCATACAGTTAACTCCAGGAACTCTAAGTAACTCATTATATTCTGAAGCCTTCCTTTGGGCAGATATTATACAGAAACGTCTCTAATGGGCAACAAGCTCTTCCTCGGTCTCTTTAGAAGTTCTGTGAAGGGTCTTGAGCGTTGATCGAGTTGCTATCTCTCCTGCTGCACGGGTCATCGCAGCAACTGGGAGGATGGCGCAGGTCCAGCTAGAGCTTCCTCCTGGAGTACAAAGGGTTGCTGTGGGTCGGAATTGACTCAATGGTCCGAGATGACCATCTACTGAAAGGGAAATACATGTAGGGCGGGTAAGTCCCCTATTTACGACATCTGTTGGCAGTTGTTTGTTTCCGTGTACATCTCATCATTAGTAATATACGCTGTTTCTGAACCCTCAGTGACAGATAGAGATGGGATTTACTAAGGTACTGATAACAACTCAACTCTCACTGCCATCAAATTAATTGACTCATAGCACCCCCGTGGGACAGTAGACCTGCTCCTGTAGGTTTCAGAGTATATCTTTTTTAAAAAAAAAATAGTTTTATTGGTATATACTCATATATTATGCAATTCAATCATTCAGTCATATTAAGAAAATGTGTGCAATCATCACCACAATCAATTTCTGAACATTTTATTCCGATATTCATTGTTCACTCCCCATTTCCCCCCATCCTCTCCTGCCATGCCCTTAGGCAATTATCAATCCAGTTACTGTCTGTATAGATCGACCTATCCTGGATTTCCTATGCAGAAAATCAAAGAAAACACAAACAGGAAGCAAACAAACAAAATCACCACCAGTGACTAGACAACACAAAAAACCTCAATCGAAAAGAAAGCAGAACATGTTAAAAGCTGAAAGAACTTTAAAATGGGTCAAACGGGAGAGCAGATGATGAGGTGTGGTCTTTCCCCTGATGGACCGGGACTGCTGGTGGGTCTAACCGCAGACCCTGCAGTTGGCAGCCCAATGTGTAACCACTTAACGACCAGGCTCCAGTGCTGCGAAGCCTCGACAGCAACGAGAAAGCGCTCACTAAAAGAGACAAAGAGCCCGGAGTGTTGGGGGCGAGGTGTTGTGCTGCTAACCACAAGGTCAGCGGTTTGAACTCACCAGGCCCTCTGCAGGGAAAGATTGAACTTTCTGCTCCCCTGAAGACTGACAGGCTCAGAAGTCCTAGATTAGCAAAAAACAAACAAACAAAACAAACCCAAGAAAGCAAATAAAAAACTGAGGGATTCAACTTAATATCAAACAATATATAGACTTGTTGGAATGGAACCCCATCATGAATTAGAGCAGCGGTTCTCAACCTGTGGGTCACAACCCCTTTGGGGGTAGAACGACCCTTTCACAGGGGTCACCCGATTCATGACAGTAGCAAAATTACAGTTCTGAAGTAGCAAAGAAAATAATTTTATAGGTGGTGGGGAGGTCTCTCCACAACATGAGGAGCTGTATGAAAGGGTCGAGGCATTAGGAAGGTTGAGAACCACTGAATTAGAGACTCCCTGAATACCAGTTGGGAAGGATAATAGTACATTGGCCTGGACCCGATGATTTAGAACTGATCACCATGTAACAGTGCTCAACAAAGTGATCAATTATTATGCAACATTCTCGTTTTTCTCAAATTCTTGCAAATTGACATATGAGCTTTGTTTTCAGGTTCACTGGCAACATGTGGAGACTATTGAGTTGGTGAACGATGGTTCGGGTCTGGGATTCGGCATCGTAGGAGGAAGAGCAACTGGTGTTATCGTCAAAACCATTCTGCCTGGAGGAGTGGCGGAGCAGGTAAGCCACTCTTCTACATTGTTGATCAAGGAAGACGCTGGAATCTTGTCCATTACGAATGAGAAATGTAGGTCTAAGATAATGCCGAAGCTACTCAGTGTGAATCTTCTATTTTAATAGGCTGTTCCTAATGTGTTCTCCTAGGCTTAGGGGAAATCACATTTGAAAAGGGGCATTGATCTTGTTAGAGTTATAAGCTACGCACAATCTTAAGAAACTTAAGAAACTTTGACACAGATGACAACCAGAATGATGGTTTTGACCTTTGTAGAGGTGGCTTCCTTTGTTTGTAATAAAAAACCATATTTGTTGAGCGCTTCATCTGTCTTACGGTCACAAGATATTATGGCAAACAAATATGTACTTTATTATTAAGAGGGGAAAAAAGACACTCCCTGTCCCTTTACTGATGGATTTTTGCTGTTGTCTCATATGTGAAAGACAGTTTGTTTTAATAGAAATGTTTATAGAAGCATTGCCTTTTATGGTGTGTGATATTATTTCAATATACTTATAAAACTTTTCATCAATTTATTATAGCATGTATTAATTTGAGACAATTTGCTAGTTTAAGTAACTTTTGCCTTGGTTATAGACTTTTGTTTTCAAATTGGTGTGCTTTCGCATGTGTCTTTAAATTTTACACTCAGAAGTCAGGGTCCTCAAGCATTTCTCATGTTTGTAAATGAAAAGCCACTTAATGTTGGAGCTGGACAGTGGAGGTTTTACTGTCATACAATAGGCTGCCAACCTTTTCTTCCTTGTAGAAGTTAGCTCGCATCTGTTGTTGTTGATAGCTACCGTCTAGTCTGGTCCGACCCAAACCGGCCCAATGCAGCTAGAACAAAACACTGTCGGACCTTGTGCCATCCTCACAGGTGCTCCTATGCTTGAGCTGTTGCTGCAACCCTTGTGTCAGTCTGTCTCATTTAGGGCCTTCTTCTCTGTCGTTGTTCCTCTACTTGACAAAGCCTGACATCCTTCTCTGGGAGACTGGTCTCTCTTGACAACAAGCCCAAAGAATCTAAGGTGAAGTCTCCCCATTCTTAACTCTAAGGACCACTTTGGTCACACTCCTAGCTTCTAGCAGTATTCAAGTCCCTGGGTGTTACAGTGAGCCAGCATTTCTATTAAGTGAAAGGCTAGATGTTTGAGTCTACCCTGAGGCACCTTGAAAAGAGGTCAAGTGATCTATGTCTGAAAAATCGGTCATTCCGGACTCTGTGAAGGACAGTTCTGCTCTGAGCCACAGTGAACTGCCGTGAGTCAGCATTACTCCATGACAAATGCTGTGACAGTGAAAGTCCCCCCGTTGACAGTTTTGTGATAGAAACATTTTATCATCAGCTTCACTGTCTAATACTCAGACCACTGGCCACATTGCCACTTTTAAAAATTAGAATGAAAATTAAATAAAACTTAAAGCTTGGTCCCTCAGTTGGGCCAGCCATATTCACAAGCTCCTTAACCATATGTTGCTATTGGCTACCATCTAGAGCAGTACAGAACATGCCCATCATCACAAGAAGTGCTTCTAGGCCATGTTGGCCTGGGGGCTTCTCAGACTGCTTTTCTGTTGTCTCGTGTATCTGAATTTTCATCTCTCAAGGACTTCATCTGAAAGTGAGTCATTCTGGGGTATCTATAATTGATATGGCCAGCCAGAAAACTGTTATTAATCCTGTGCTTTCTGGGTGTTCCTACCACATATGGAGCATAGTTGCATGTGTTTGCCTAGTGTGGTAGGCCAGGTTGGCTAGAGAAACAATTCCAGAGACATTCATATATGTATAAGAAAGAGCTTTCTATCAAGAAGTAATAACATATCAAGAAAGCACCCCAGCCCAGTCCAACTCAAGTCTGCGTGTCAGAAACTAGTGCATAAATCCGTCTTCTGACTCACGAAGCCACATGCTATGTTGCAGAATGCAGGAACCACAGGCCAGGGCGTGCTGAGTCCTGTGGGTCCACGCTCGGTGGAAACATGGTGGTCCTGCACCTCCCAGGGTCAGTGACGAAGTCCCGGCAGGCAGGAAGGCAAAGTGGCAGAGAATTGGGGAGGTTCCCAGGGTCCTCCTTGTAGCAGGCCACACCCCTAATCAGGTTGTGACCTGATGGATAGGTTGGATTCCAGCCCTACACTTTTATACTTCTTCAAATCGATGAAAAATAATCTAACTACCACACATAGCCACCCTATACTTTAACAGCATTTTCTTCTTTGTATTCTTCAAACACACACACACACACACACACACACACACACACACACCAATATTTTATTATATCCAGAGGGTTGGAATCAAACAAATATACTGAAAAGTTTATAACAACTATTGATTTTTAAACTATGGATGAATTTCAGATGGTTATACTATGTTAAATCATGCTAGAATACTTTAGGAGACAGCATCACAATCACATGTTTACTGTCATGTGAGAGAGAATTCATAGAGTGGTCCATTTTTACTGTTGCCTTCCCCTCACTTAAGATTGCTGTAGCACAGATTGACCCGCATTGATCCTTCGACCTCTTTTTGTCCAGCATGGGCGGTTGTGCAGCGGCGACCACATTCTGAAGATTGGTGACACTGATTTAGCAGGAATGAACAGTGAGCAAGTAGCACAAGTCCTCAGGCAGTGTGGAAACAGAGTGAAGTTGGTGATCGCGCGGGGGGCCATGGACGAAGCCATAGCACCCACCTCTTTGGGCATCACCGTCTCCTCGTCCTCATCGTCCACGCCAGAGATGCAGGTGAGTAGAGAACGACAGCCAAGGTGAAAGTCAGAGGCAATATCACTTAGATGACAGTGGTTTTTGTTTAGAAACTGGACTGACTGATGTCCATGTAGAAGTGTTAATGAAACCCAATTCAAATATCATTTCAGTTCAGTACTGTAAGGATATTGTTAAGCAATATTATACAATGCAGATGAAAATTAAAGAGCTTGCTTAAAAAGTTCTGCCTTACTATTTCACGTTTTTCTGTATGCAGCATGTGCATAGCACTGTGTGGTGTGGGTTATGATTGTAAAAAGTTGTTTTTTACTAAAAAAAATAAAAACAAAACCTCACTGCCATCAAATCAATGGTGACTCAAAGTGACACCCTGTGGTTTTGTAGACCATAACTGTTTACAGGAGTAGAAAGTCCAGTCTTTCTCTCATGGAGCTGATGGAGGTTTTGAACTGCTGACCCTATGGATTTCAGCCCAACGGATAACCACTACACCACTTGTAATCCTTGTTTTCTAATAGGCCCTAAAATATGTAATTTTCACCTACAAATGTCTCTGTGAGACAGCTGTTGGTCTCCAATTATTCCTTTTTCACACATTACTTTGAAGATCTTTGCATTTGAGTATATGGAGGTGGAAGTGCAGTGGCTGGTTTGCTGGGGCGAGGCCAGTCAATCAACCTTATCACGATCTTTCAATGCTATTGTTTTAAGATATGCCATAGAACTGTTATCTGATTTGTAATAAAAGGTTGCTTCTCTTGACCAGGTTACGTAAGCTTTTAAACAAAAGTCCTGCCTTTGAGGTTGTAACAGAAGCTTTATTCATCACTGTGGCAATCCATCCTTGTCTTTGACTTGATATGAAAATAGCTGGGAAATCTCAAAATTATTGGAATGCATTGGTTATCTCAGATAGCTTACAGGTCACAAGTTCATAATGGATAAAAGATCAACAAAGTATTTTTAGCCAGAAATCTTTTACATTTTTGAGGAGAAAATTACACCACATTTCTCAGGAAGATTTATAGCCAATACAAATTTTATAAGCCTTTCACACCCATTTAAAAATATTTACATAATTTGTGTATTAATTTTTTTCTGACGAGTTGCTACAGAATTTTTCTTTTTAGTACACTGACTTTCTCTATAAGCCCTTTAAAAGTTTATGAGAACACTTAAAACTTTCACAATTCTGTTGTTTCCAGGATTGAGTTTGGTTGCTATTTTTTGCTAAGAGAAAGAAGTAAAGAAAGAAAGCTTGTTTATGAAAGTATTTAAATGGCATTCTTTTGTGGTAAATAAAACATTTTATTCAGCAATACATAAATGAATGTAATACTGAAAACCACTTGATGTAATTGAATGCTTAGAAAAATATCTATTCTGTGCATATCATCATTTCTGAAGCCTGTGCCCCTTTTAAAACCATTCGATAGTCAAATTGCCACCCTCTAAAATAGCACTCGCATAAGTCTTATTAAAAATAGAAAACACATTTGTTTCAATTGAAGCAGATTTCATCCTGTCATTTTCTTGTAATTATCTAAACTTTAAACTTTTGCTAAGTTTGCACAGATAATTATGTGCAATGAAAAAAATAAATCGAACTTTACTACAAAATTATCTCATTTAGGTAGCTATCCACGAGATACAGTCAGAGGTTGTCTCTAAAACATCAGAACACATGACCACTAGCTCCATGTGTGTGTCGTTCGAACCCACAGCCACTTAGCTGTATTAGGCTTGACCCAGCGCCGCCTCCATGGACCAAGCACAACTCAGCATATTTACTATTGACTTTAATCCTAGAATATCATGGACCCCATATCGCTTCAAATGGCTTAAAAGTAATATTTCTTAGATTATATGGATACTAACAGCAAAGTTGTTTTGTAAAATCGTTGTATGTTGAAGTACAGTATTAGTTGTATTATTAGCTGGTCAGTAGAAACCTTTAAAAAAATCCTTTTTCTTTTAACTACCACTTCAGTCTCAAAAGAGGTACTGATATAAACTTACAGATACTGATTGCCACAATATTAAAACAAAACACCAGAACATTTAACAAAATCAGGGACCATGAAAATGCCGGCCACCAAGAAAAGAGCAGTGTGTGCTGTAGCCCTTGACGATGGAGCCGCACGACCCAAAGTATCATTCTAGGAAAGTCCAAAAATAAAGAAGCAGAGAGTTTTAACCTTGTGGATATATCAATTCATAGGCCAGGCTTATGAAAAATGTTTTTGCTGTTATAACTGACAGGGGCAACTTTATCTAAAGTAATACATTTCTGCTAAAACACTACTTACAATGTTTATAGACAGTATGGTGGTGTCATGCCTTCTGACATAGCTCCCAGTGTAGTCCGTAGACCTGGCACTGCCCCTCCACCGCTCTGATCCTATTGTGCTCCTTTGAGAATCTCTATAGGCTCTGTTGACACCACACTCAGGCATGATGCTTGTAAGCCACTTATTAATGACTTATTACCCTACCCCACTAATACTTATGTAGGTGAACCTTGACTTTTAATTCAATATACAATATATAGTAATGCAATTCAGTTAAAAACAATTCTAAGCAAAGGTAGGAGCCCGATGGCATTGTGGTTACCTGATGGGCTGTGATATACGAGATCTTGATACACAAGGTCTTAAGTTCAAAACGACCAGCCATTACTCTGGAGAAAGACAGGGCTTTCCATTCCTATAAACACTTACAGTTTCAGAAATCACCTGGGGCAGTTCTCTGCTGTCCTATAGAGTTGCTATGAGTCGACATCAACTCCATGAGCGTGAGTTTTTTAAGTTTGCTTGATATGAGCTCTTTGTCTTTGGAAAAAGTTTCTGTCTCAATTTTCCCAAAGGGAAATTGGCACGGAAACTATACTTCCCTCAAATACATGCTGTCAGAGGAAATCAAATAAGATGTCATTTGCCCCATTACGTAGACAGTTCTCAATAAATATAGTTGTTATTATTATCCCAGATTCAGCAAGTTGACCCTTGGAAAGATGAATTAGCAAGCTAGACTTGTGTATCTGAATTCAAAACACGAGCTCTGTCCACTGGCTGACATCCCAATTCAGAATTAATTGTAAGACTATCTTTGATGAGTAGTAGTATGTGTATACACACACTCATTCACCTCTCTGATAGGGCAAGTTCAGCCTACTCCTGGCCCTGCTTTCTGATGAACAAGATGGTGCTCGGTCTCTGCGCTCACGATCCAAGGAGCCATCTCCACTGGAATTCTCCAGCAGAGTTCACGGATGCCTAATTATATCACATTGTTCCTAGATGAAGGCTTTCGATTTGGGGACTTGCTTTGCTTGTTTACTTGTGGATTTTCTTTTAGGTCGATGCTTCAACCCAGAAAAGTGAAGAAAATGAGACATTTGATGTGGAACTCACTAAGAATATCCAAGGATTAGGAATTACTATTGCTGGTTACATTGGAGATAAAAAATTAGGTAGTTATAAACAATAAATACTTTATGTTGTTAAATTAATTATTTGTCTCTGATACCTCTGTCTTGTTAAACATTGAATTAGCCTTGCATGGTTTAAGATTAGCAGGTAAACTGAAAACATCTTTAGGAATAGTTTAATTTAGACTGCTCTGATACTCTTTTTAAGATAGACAAAACAGTTGTCTTACTGTGTAGTCTAAGTTTCTGCTTAAGCTTTGTTCTGTGACTTGTTAATTTATATCTATGCAGTATTGGGAGGTTATACTTGAAGAATGAAGGCAGGATATTCTGGTAATTAGCTTATTTTTAATCTTAGAACCTTCAGGAATCTTTGTAAAGAGCATTACAAAAAGCAGTGCTGTTGAACATGATGGAAGAATCCAAATTGGAGACCAAATTATAGCAGTAAGTGACACATTTAATAATAGCTTTGTTAATTTTCATGTTTGAAAATGCATTCAAGTTTATTTCATTTCAAGAACTACAAATACTTCAGTACTAATTTAACTTGCTGGGGTGACTTAAGGCTGTCATTGCTGTCACTTATTTCCTTATTTTGAGGAGGTAAAACAGAGCACTAACTATAAATTTTACTGATCTCAATTCTAAAGTGTGGAACTTCTTGCTTGGATAAATTCTGATGTATTCCATGGCTGGTTGGAATGCCCTTGTTACATTAATTAGTATTTCATATTTCAGTAGCAGACTTCCTAAAGTCAAAGACCGGATGTCAGCACTCTTTATGTACTTGAATCTCTTTTCAGAATACTTATTATTAGTATTTTCTAATGAGTAGAGCGACACCACTGATAATGGCTATTTGAGCAAAGGATTCTTTAAAAGAAATACATCCAACCCTTCTTAATTAAGGGGATGTCCTTAGATCAAGGTGGTGGCCAAAGAACCTGGCTCTCGTGTTCTCTGGGATTCCCCAAACTACCTCTTCCCCCAACATAAGTTCAAGAAGATGCTGCGCAGAGGGGGCTCCTTGTCAAGTAAGTGTAGAAAGCACTGCAGATGAGATGGCCTCTTGGGGGTACACGATGAACCCCAGAGAGTTGATGATCTGAGATATCCTGCAGAAGAGAAATCTGCTTAGCTTCTTACCTCAGTGTTTCTTACACACTCACAATTGTGGGTGCTTCCTTTTCCCAAACATATATGAATAATTTCACAGTCATCTTGGGGAACGCTGATACCTCTCAGTATAGATTTGTTTGTGTTTTTCTTTGTTGTTCCCTTGAGATCATACTGCCGGCAGAAATGGACTATAGTCAAACTTCCCACTTGGGTAATCCTTATGGAAGCAAACAGACCCATCTGGTGGCTTTGAACCACTGACCTTCTGGTTAGCAGCAAAGCGTTTGACCACTTCCTCTGGGCTCCTTATAACTCCCCTAAGGCAAGGTCAGGGATAAAGGAAAGTGTTGCCGATAGGTACAACCCTCATTCCCGGATAGTCCTTTCTTGCTTTAGCAAAATCACTCTCTTGACTATGACCTAGGTTTTGAGTTTTCTCCCATGCTTCTTTATTTTAGCATGACAAACACCTGGGGAGCATCCTGAATACTTTTCACCAGGCATTAATTTTGGGGAAATACACTAGGAAAGGTTTTCACGTCTGGTTGCTTTTTCATAACTGCAGTCTTAGGCTATATTTGTGCTTTCTTTTGGCCGACGCAGCCTGGGCAGCACTTTATTTTATAACTGTGAGAAAACAGAACTGATTTCTGACCATTTTGGAGAACTCCGCTCCCCCGTGGTGTAGTGGTTACCAGTTCGGCTGCTGCTTTCAAGGCCAGCAGTTTGAAGCCACCAATTGCTTCTCTGGAGAATGAGGAGGCTTTCTATGCCTGTAAAAATCACGTCCCGGAAACCCACCAGGGCAGTTCTACTCTGTCCTCGAGGGTCTGTGTGGGTTGGAACTGACTCACTCCCAGGCAGTGTGTTTGGGTTTTATTCTGGAGAAATGTTACTTTGTAACATTTTGCTCAAAAGATAGAAACAGCCAACATATCCTTCAATGGAAGCATGGGGAAGCTCACTCTGGCGCATACGCACAAAGTAATAAGCCGCAGCATCAAAGGGATATGAACCTGCGAACTACCTCATAGCACGGAGGAACCTGGAGGTCATTCTGCTCATGAAATGCATCATTCACAACAGGACAAATATTGCATGCAACTCCTGTTGTGAAAATGTCAAGAAAAGGTTTGCACAGCAGAGGAAACATGCTTGGTTGGTTTCCAGGGGTGTGAGGGGAGGGATGCTGATTAGAGGGTGGGCCCGTGCTCTGCCCTTCTCAAGGGGCATGTCTTGTCCTTCTCAACAGGTAGATGGTACAAACCTTCAGGGTTTCACTAACCAACAGGCCGTAGAGGTTTTGCGACACACAGGCCAAACTGTGCATCTGACACTCATGAGAAGAGGGGGCCTGAAGCAGGACGCTGAGCTGCCACCTGAGGAGGACGTCACAAAAGACACACTATTGTCACCTCTGAATGCCAGCACAGGCAAAGGTAATGCCAAGAGAATCAGGCTTCCAGTTAGACCTGTGTTTGATACTTTTCTCATTCTGAAACATCCCATTAAAAGCGTGGTTTGTCCCCTCAGCAGCCCCTTATGAACGGAGTGAACGGGGAGTTTACTGATGTTGGAAGGATTGAACACCATAGACGAGGCTGTAGACAAAGGAGTTTTCCAGTGGATTCATCCCATCCCCATTTCCTAGTCAGCAGATGCCTGGCCGTTCACCTTTCTGCCATGGCAGGGGTCTGTCTTGAGGAGACTACTGAAGCGCTTATAGGGGCCCCAGGATTTGAGTGCTCGCCTAGGAGGAAGTGGGCTTCGCCTTTAGAAATGCCCCTTCCCAAGCTGTTTATGCCTGCGGGTCTGCAAATCACGGCCTGGGTAGCTTGGTGATGGAAGACTTAATTAGTCAAAGTCAGGAATCTGGCTAGAAAATATTTCGTTTCTAAGACTGTTCACCCCTCTTGCCGAGACAAAATCACAGCTGAAATGGCTCCATCGCTAGGAAAAATATTCTGTGCGTCTGAGTGGTCATTGAGAAGCTTACCGCTGCAGACCCATCCCTCGTCTCAGTGTTCGGATACGTGCAGTGGAAGGAGGAAAATCCCAGTGCTCAGTAAAAGCCTCACTGCTAAATTATTCTTGTCTTTAAGAAAATGACGACACAGATGAAGACTCTTTATCTTTGAGGAGAAGCTCCGACGTCTTGCCAATAGAAGAAGAAGGTGAAGTCCAGGAACCAGGTCGTTAAGTTCTTCTTTCTTATCTCTTAGAGAAGTGCTTTTTAATAAATGTGATCATGCATCGGGGCTGTAAGAATGACTGAAAAAGAGTCTTTCAGAAAAGAGATGCTACATTAATACATCCGTATTTAGAGATGCAGTTAATTGCTCATGGAGGTGACTAAAATAGTTCATTTATAGCCGGTATATTTTCTTGCTGAGCCGAGTCTTTCTTTTATGTGGCTTTACCCATAACCCTTTAGAAACCAACCACATGTACACATAGTTTAAAACTCACAGTTTGTTTCTGTAAACAGTGTTCTTCTACTTGCTGGAAGAAACAATAGTAAAATTATAAAGACTCTAAAATATATCCTAGACACTCTTTACAGTGGAAAAGTTTAGGTCTGAAATGGTCCAATGCTGAAAGGTATTGTAAATTCTCATTTTTTATATTGAGTTGGTTTGGGGAAGAATTGTGCAGGGAAATGATTAAGCCTTTCAAATAATTATTTTAGTGCAAACCTATAGTTTATCAGGCTTTTCAAAAATTGTCTTAGAGAAGCAGGGTGTGAGGCTGTAATGACACAGGAGCATTGCTGCCATCTTTGGCAGTTACCCACTGTGCCCTCCCTTCTCCACTGCCCTGGGCACGCACGTACAGCAGGGGACGCTACCCGAGTGCCCTGTGTTCTCTGGGAACTCACCCGGGTAACATCACTCTGCTGTACTTGAGAGCCCAAGAATGAGATGTGTGGGGGTTACATTTGTTAATTCCATTCTGCCATTTTTACACTAATATTTAAAATTTTTTTAGGACCAATGAAATATCAGGAATATCAGGGAAAGGCATAAACATGAATAATGGCTTGTGGGCTCTCTTGAAGACTCAGAACCACTTGGGTTTTTTTGGTGAACCTGTAAGTGGGACAGGGTGGGGATGTGGGCCAAGGAAGGTGGGGCCAATTTGATCTTAGCCTCAAGAATCCCCAGTCTTTATTAAGCAACACAAACAAAACAAAAGCTCCCCAGTGATGGCAATGCCATGTTCCTAGTAGTTCCTGGTCCACCAACAGAGGGTAAGAGACTTCTGCCCCTACTGGAGTAATTCGATGTAATGTGTGAGCTGGGACAAGTCATTTAACTTTAGAATTAGGTCAGAAGACTGGACCGTGCCTCCTCCGATATGCCTCACATCTAGACTTGGGGAAATTGAGAAAGGGGAGATGAATTGTTATGTCCGTAGTTTGCATGATTTTTACTCCTAGGCTGTTTTCCAGCAGCTTATAGATTCCCTACTTTTTCATTCAAAACCCCACCTTGTTTGAATCAAGAAAAGAGGAGGTGGGTAGAATCTAATTTTGAAATGATTAGATTGAGATGGGGGGGGGGTCTTGCTCCCAAATTTATTTTATTATAGTTTATTGTTTCTGGTTTCTTCAGGAGAACATATAATTATTTCCTAAACTCAAGGCTTAAGCGAATCTGAAAAGTATGCGTGGAGGGAAATTTCATTAAGTTACATTAAAGAGGAGAGGCAGAATTGGGAAACTGGAATTTTTGAATACTCTTAAGTTTGAAATTTGAATGGTTTAAGGGAGATGAGAAAATAGCTTAGAGAACGATGCCTAATAGAGATTTTTAAAAACAGCCTTCGTTAGTAAAAAACATGATGAAATTTAGAAAGCTTTGGATATGATTTTAAAATTCTTATCAACAAGCTTCTTGCTTTACCCAAGCATTTTGCCTTCAATGTTATTTGCGTAGTCATTTTCTTTTTTATATTCTTCATTTATGTTTGGCAACTAGTGGGATTCTAATTATGGGGTTTTATGTTGATTCACCAGCTCCACTTTTATTGTTTTTAGAATTGATGAATTTTCATTGAACATGGAGCTGCATACATTATTCATTAATTTATGTATTGGTCTCTTGTGGGTTTTGGTGAGACAGGCTGTCTCCTCCTTTCCCGGTGCCGAGCCGAATGGCAATAGAGAGGAAGAACTGACGTGGAGGTCGACGTGAGTGTGTGTTACAGGCTCCGTCATGTGGGTCGACCGTCATGTGACCCAGGAAGCAACTGGGGAGTCCTGGTAGCACATGGAGAGTAGACAGTGTGTGGACATTTGATGAACATGGTGCGAAGATGTAGAAGTGGTTGCCTAAAATAGTGTCAAACATGCACACAATAGGTTTCTACATGGAATTATTGAAATGTCTACGGAAAGAAGAGCAACCCATCTCTTTAGACCAGCAGACGGGTCTTTTAGCACAGGGTCCTTTGTGCAAACTGCCTAAGCTTTGGAGGTGTTTGTAACTTGTCACTAACTGCATTGTTGACTATTTCAGAGTACCCCTTACTGGCTGCTGAGATCGAAGAAAGAGAAAAGATGCAGCAACAGGAAGCCGCCCTGCTGGCAAAATGGCAAAGGATTATGGGAATTAATTATGAAATAGTGGTAGGTTGCTCCCTTGGGGTATATGGCAGAAATAAAAATGGGACATTTGAAAGAATCTCAGAGAGCAAGATGTTAGGATTTTTGGAGGCCCCATAAGTGCTGCTACAGGCATTAAAAATGCAGGCTGACGAAAGTTGAATTGTAAGCAAGGAACCAAAGTAAACAGGATAGCATTCAGAACTCATAATCCGTCCATACTTTAATGTTTCTAGAAGCCAGTTAGATAGAGAGAGAGTTTACTTAAGATAGAAATCATCATGATCAATCTTTAGAATTGCAAAGGCCTTGTGTATGGCGGAGCTTCAAAACATTTTGGGAAAATTCCATGAACTTCTAATTCAATTTTCCACAATTTTTTTTGAAGGCCCACCCACGTTTACTTCCCTTAAAAAGCTTATTTTTGCAGGTTTTTTATGCTGTTTCCTTATGCCGCAGTGAGTGGTACGCTTATTGACTATTTGCATATAGGGATCATAATCTCTTAGCCTAAAAAGAGATTTAGTGAAGTTGACATGAATTCTTAACTATTCGATGCATACCAGATAATTTCTGGAATTTTACAAGAAAAAGAAAATACTATAATCATAAATTGCTGGTCATGTTAAGGTACATCTGAATTAGAGTAGATAAAATGCAATACATAACGGTATATAATATAAATAATAACTAACACTTATTGAGAATTTGTGCCAGGTAATGTTTCAGTTGGAGAAAGACAAGACTTTCTACTCCATCAAGGTTTACAGTCTCCGAAACCCACAGGGGCGTTCTGATCTGTCTCACAGTGTCGCTGTGGTTCAGAATGGACTTAGTGGCTGTGAGTTTGGTCCGAGTGATCTACATGGTTTAGAAGTTAACCCTCATGGTGCAATACTTATTATTTTAGACAACCGAGATGGTTAACAATCAAAATATAGTTATCACTGCCATTCTAAGTAATTAGAAAAAATACAGTAACATCATGCTTACACTTAACATGTTAACGTAGAGGGTTTGCAAATTACTTCTGTGAGGTAGGGTCAGTATGGCCGGAGTCCATAACTGAGAGGAAGTTCTTTAGGTGTCAATGAAAGGAAGTTAATGAAGGAAGCTCTTTAGGGGACTAGTGAAAGGGGCTCTTTGCCTAAGCTTCCAGTCACAGATGTCATAGCTGAGACAGGAAGCTCTCAATGCCTCTTGCTCATCTGCTGCCCTGGCCGCACTCCTGTTCCCCCGCCAAGAGCCAGGGTGTGCCATAAGTCAGCAACCATTTGGGTATTTATTGGGCCTGCTCAGTCTAAGATATAGATTAAGATGTAGGTCTGATTTCAGATCATTTGCTACGTTCTCTTCTGTTATACAGCAGAAAGAAAATCCGAAAAAGAGCAATGTGGGAGAGGAAAGGGAAGATGCCGGCTTTGGATGACAACCTGACTGTTTCTGAGCCAAAGTGGTGTCTGTATTGGGCTTTAAGGAAGGAGAATGATTTTTCCTATAGTTAGATTTCAAAGTCAGGTGATGTAGCTTCTGCTTCCTACTCTGCACACATCACTATTAAGGTTTGAAAAGAGTTCTCTTGTCTAGCTAACTCCTTTGCTCCTCCCTCTGCCCCACAGTTCTTTTATGCTTGTTTTTTTAAATTGAAATAAAGTGGATGACATAATCTTTAGTATCCATAACTGAGACGCAGTTCTGATTTTTCCTAATGTGATCACTGTAGTCGGTGGAGAAAATGGGTGATTTCCTAGCATTCTCCTTTATTTTAGTGTCACCGTAGGGAGAGGATATCAAACTGAGATAGTTGACATAGAGAGTTAGCCTCGTCCCTGGGAAATTGGAAGTACTGTCCCGTTTCTGTCCCGTCATGTGAGTGCAAGCTTTTGATACTGTCTTCGGGAGTTTTGACCCCCTGCCATCCCTGGTCAGCATCTGCAGGCAGGGCCGTGTGTCTCAGGCGCTTCCCGTGGCTGCTGCTTCTTCCATCTTGTTTTGGTTCATGAGACCAATGGACACCAGGATTCTTTCACAGCGATGTCCTGAGCTTTGCAGCTCCCGGTGAAGGGTCTGAAACCAGGGGAGGCAAGCAACTCTAGAGCATATGCACGCATAGATTTAACAACAGAAGCACATGGATGCTAGAATTGTCGGTGACTCTTCCTGCTTTCAGGTGGCCCGTGTGACCAAGTTCAGTGAGAACAGTGGACTGGGGATAAGTCTGGAAGCAACCGTGGGGCATCATTTTATCCGATCTGTTCTCCCAGAAGGCCCTGTTGGACACAGCGGAAAGCTTTTCAGCGGAGATGAACTGCTGGAAGTAAGGAGCCGGCCTTCTCCCCCTCATTAAGATTCGGAGAAGGCTGCTGGAGGCACCCTCTGAAAGTTCCTCGAGAGAGGTCTGCCAGTCAGAATCACCCAGAGAGGAAATCGCACACCTGACTAGAGGTTGATCTTGAGATCTCATTTCATGCTGTTGTGTTTTTTAAGTTCGGCTGATTCCATTTGTTTCTGAATTTTAACACATTTATTCAAGGTTTATGACCAATACTAAACACATTCTCATGTTTCAAAACCCCCAAAAGAGTCAAAGATAAAAACTTTGATCCCAGACTCAGTGAAAAAATCTCCTTCCTGGCTCCCTTCATCCAATCCCTATCACTTTCGATATAGAACTACTATGTATATAATCGTGTGGTGCATATTTTAATGGAGACAGAAAATTTGAATACACAATTTCTCCTAAATTACATGTTAGCACACAAAATGTGCCATTTAAATTTTTTATTATTTTTACTTAAGAACTCTACAAAATGGCTTTGTTATGGTGCTTCCTCCTTTTCCCCTTTATCCAGGGCGTTAGCCTTTTAAAAATGAATTGTTCATTTCCAAACTCCTACACTGGCAAATCAAAATGAAAGAAAGTTAGTGATTTGCTTCTGAGTTCTTGCTAAGGTCCTATACCAAAACAAAACAACACACGCACAAAACCACCCTCTCTGTCTGAACTTGGACATACATGTTTCTAGTCAGTGTTACTACAGGTTTTAAGTATTGTGAGCACAGCAAAGCCAGGGTTGTCCTCCTAAAATTTAAATTTATTAAATACAAAGTTGTTATTGACTGGGGTATTTCTATTCTGGGATACTGGTCTTTCCTGGACAATTTGATTTTTTTTTTCTCCCCACAGGTGAACGGCATAACTTTGCTTGGGGAAAACCACCAAGAGGTGGTCACAATTTTAAAGGAACTGCCTATAGAAGTGACAGTGGTCTGCTGTCGCCGCACAGTGCCACCCACTGGCCAGACAGAATTGGATGACCTGGATTTGTGTGACATTGAGCTAACAGAGAAGGTAGGAGATCTCAGACACGAGGCTAATTTGAATGTAGGATGGGACGTCTAGGGGAGTGGGGCATGAGTTAGCATCAACTTAAAGAATGCAGTCAAACTCGCGGTTTAAATGCCCTTGAAAATGAGTCTAAAGTTTTCGTCACTTGGTATTATATTTGCTATCCAAATAGAGCTCATGATCTGTAAGATGGGCCATGGAGTCAGGTGGACCAAGGTCCAGATCAGCTTGGACACTTATCTGTTCGAAAAGTCATTTCATCTTTTTGACCCTCAGTTTTCTCCTCTGTAAAAATGTACCATGTTTGTCTCAGAAAGTTAAGCAAGGTAAACAGACAAAAAATGAAACTCACTGCCATCGAAGCTGTAAATTTTTTCTGGAGTTGACAGCTTCACATTTCTCCCAGGTTGCAGCTGGTGGGTTTGAACTACAAACCTTTTGATTATCAGTCCAATACCCAACAGCACCAATAGGGCTCCTTTGAAAGAGGTAATGTAGCATGCTGTCGCTTGCTGTGTGCTTGTATAATTTATTCCCAGTAGTCCTGTGAAATATACTCTTACATTGTCCCCATTTTCATAAGAGTAAAGGATGAAAGTATTGTAGGCAGCATGTGTTTCAAGCCCTGGGTGGGGCAAAGTGCTCCCCTGTGAAGCCAGAGGTTGGTGGACTGAACCCCAGCAGAGGCACCTCGGCAGACAGGCCTGGTGAGCTGCTTCCACAAGTCCACAGCCTGTAAAACATGATAGAGTGGTTCTACTCTGCACACCATGCGTTCACCGTGAATTCAAGACACAACAACAGCTGAGAATGTCGTAAAAGATGCTCATAAATGACCTGGTGCCTGCACAGGTATTGCTGAGTGAAGGGCTTTATCATGTCTGTCTGTATAGGGCTTCCTTAATAAGCACACTAGGCACAGTTAGAACATGAGATCTTTGACTCCATAAAATTTTATCTCATGAACTTTTGTCCCATGCAGAATCTCCCATTTTCCTATGTGCTTGTCGACACCCTTAAGATAAAAATGTGAGGAGGAGACCACCTGCTTAGTGCTGTTGAGTCCGCGCCAACGCCCAGAGGCCTTGCGTACAACACAGTGGAACACTACCCCGTCCTGTGCCATCCTCATAATTGTGGCAGCCACTGGGTCACTCTGCCTTGTAGAGCAGCTTCCTCTCTTTCCCTGGTGCTCCACTGTGCCAACCTAGTGTCCTTCTTCAGGGCCTCCTGATGGCATCTCCGAAGCACAGGAGACAAAGTCTCACTGGCCTGCCTTCGAGGGAGCATTTTGACTGTAGTTCTTCCAGGACTAAACTGTTCATTCTTTGGGCGGCCCATGGTGTATTCAATATTCTTGGCCAACACCACAATCTGAATGCATCGGTTCTTTGATATTCCTTAGTCATTGTCCAGTTTTTACATGCACATTTGGTGAATGAAAACACAAGGCCGTGGGTTCATGGACACCTTCGTCCTCAAAATCACACCTTTGTTTTGAACATGTTAAAGAGGCTTGAGCTAGTACAATACATCCTTTGATTTTGAATGCCTCTTCATGGCCATCGATTGCAGACCCAAGTTAAGATGAAATCCTTGACAATTTCAGTATTGCCTTCCTTTATCACGATGCTGCGTATTGGTTCTGATGGAAGGGTTTTTGTTTCCTGCAAGTTGTCTTTGAGCATCATCAATAAATCCTTCAAATACTCCTTCCTTTCAGCAAGGAATGTTGTAGCATCTGCATATCTCTAGTTGTTGATGAGCCTTCATCCTATCATGATACTGCTTTCTTCTCCACATTGTCTAGTCCAGTGGTTCTCAACCTGTGGGTCGCGACCCCTCTGGGGGTCAAACGACCCTTTCACAGGGGTTACCCAATTCATAACAGTAGCAAAATTACAGTTATGAAGTAACAATGAAAACAATTTTATGGTTGGGGGGTCACCACCACATGAGGAACTGTGTTAAAGGGTCGTGGCATGAGGAAGGTTGAGAACCACTGGTTCCCAGAAAAAAAGACATTTGGAAAAAGGCATGTGGTCCTTAGAAAAAAAGATTTGAAACTTTGAAGAATAAAAATACAAAGTTTAATATTAGCAGAGCTGATTAGAATAGGATAAAAATCCAAATACTTCCAAATTAAAAGTAACTGAAAGGTTAGCACCATTTATACACATATATCTATACACCTTTTCATGAAGTACAAATGAGGGTGTTAAAATACAACAAATGGACATAATTTTGTCCTCGTTCCTAATCTATGTAATAAGTAATTAACTGAAATCAAAGAAACTAGAATTATATCACCATAAATCAAAGTCAAAATCAAGCTCATTGCCACTGACTTGGTTCTGACTCATAGCAACCCTGTCGGACAGAGTAAAATGGCCCCACTGGGTTTCCCAGACTGTAACTCTTTAAGATAGGAGAGAGCCTCCTTTTTCTCCTGAAGAGCAACTGGTGGTTTTGAACTGCTCATCTTGGTGTTAGCACCCCAACGCATAACCTATAACACCACCAGGGTCCTACATCATAATAAATACAGCTTTCTTACATTTAGTTTGTTAATAGAGATGAACAAAGTACAATTAACCTAGACTCACTTTCATTTCTGTTTGCCAAAGGAAAGCTTTTAAAACACTTTCTTCTATGAGAAAACTTCAAAATGTTCATGGGAAAAATCAGCAAATTAAATGATAATGGATTTTTTCCATGAAGCTTTTGAAGCCCTTTTGTGTCTGATGCTTTATAAATGTTACCTCATTTAATCCTTAGAAAAAATTCGCTGATAGGGATAAAACTGTTGAGTTCAAGTTAATAAGGTTTTTCTCGTTATTTTGTTTTGGGGGTTTTGTTGTTGTTGTTATGCTGTTAGTTTTGACTTCCTTTGTTGTCTTATTTTGCTTTGCCTGGTTTATGCACTTATTAATGTATCTGAATGTTTATCTAGATAAGATAGGTGGGATAAATAATTCAGAGATGAAAAGAACGGGACCAATGGTTCAGCAGGGGTGGGGGGATGGAGTTTGGGAGAAAGGAAAGGGGGTGGGAACCAACCCAGGGGCAAGGGAACAACAAGTGAACTAAAATCAATGGAAAGAAGGGCATAGGATGCCTAGTGGGGCTTAATCAAGGGCAATGTAGCAGTGAGGAATTACTAAACCTGAATGAAGGCCAAACATGATGGTGGGACAAGAGGACAGGGAAAGGAAATAGAAGAAAGAACCAGGAGGCAAAGGACATTTATAGGTCTAAATAAAGCCATGTACATATGAAAATATATATACAACGAGGGGGAATAGAACTATGTACTCATATCTATATGTTAAGAATTAAGGTTGCATATGGACATTGGGCCTTAACTCAAGTACTCCCTCAACAAAAGAACACTTTGTTCTAACAATCCAGTATTCTGTTATGCCCACCTTCCCTACATGATCGCTGAAGATAAAATGGGTACATAAGCAAATGTGGTGAAGAAAGCTGATGGTGCCAGGCTATCAAAAGATATAGCATCTAGGGCAGGGGTTCTCAAACTTTTAAAACAGGGGGCCAGTTCACTGTCCCTCAGACCCATTGGAGGGCCGGACTATAGTTTAAAAAAATATATATGAACAAATTCCTATGCACACCGCACATATCTTATTTTGAAGTAAAAAAACAAACGGGGCAAAAACACCCGGAAGGCCCGATAAATGTCCTTGGTGGGCCGCTTGTGGCCCGTAGGCCATAGTTTGAGGATGCCTCGTCTAGGGTCTTAAAGACTTGAAGGTAAACAAGTGGTCATCTAGCTGAGAAACAACAAAGCCCACAGGGAAGAAGCACACTAGCCTGTGTTGTGTGATCATGAGGTATCGATGGGATCAGGTATCAAAGACCCAGAACAAAACCATACCCAATGTGAGGTGGGGTGGGGGAGAGGGGCGTGGAGTGGAGACCCATTGCCCATCTGTAGACAATTGAACATCTCCTCACAGAGTGGCCAGAGGGAAGAGATGAGCCAGTCAGGGTGCAGTATAGCACCGATGAAATACAAAACTGTCTTCTAGTTCTTTGGTGCTTCCTTCATCCCACTATCATGATCTCAATATTACCTTACAAATCGGATTAGACTAGAGCATGCACACTGTTACAGATAAGATCCCACAACACAGGGAATCCAGGATAGATCAACCCCTCAGGGCCAACAAGGAGAGTAGCGATACCAGGAGGATTAGGGGAGGGTGGGGGAAGAAAGGAGGAATCGATCACAAGGATCAATTATATACCCCCCCACCTCCCCAAGGGGGACGAATAATGGAAAAGTGGGTGAGGGGCGACAGAGGATGATATAAGATATGAAATTAATAATCTATAACTTATCAAGGGTTCGTGAGAGAGGGCGGGAAAGGGAGGGGGAAGAAATGGGGAGCTGATATCAGGGGCTCAAGTGGGAAGAGAATGCTTTGAAACTGATGATGGTGGCATATGTGCAAATGTGCTTGACAGACTGGATGAATGTATGGATTGTGATAAGAGATGTAAGAGCCCCCAATAAAAGTAAGAAAAAAAAAGATTTTTCAAGATAACACAGATAAGAAGGTCTGTAGATAGCTTCCAGTCTTATCCCTTGAAACTGTGCTCAGTAATTTATTCTTAAAATGGTCATGTGCATAAAATTCTCATCCATCCAGAGCTCTTGTTGGCATAGATTATAGGACTTCTCCACATCTCCTTTTCGCCTGGGTTATTCTTTATATTATCCACAAGAACTGTTGACTGTCCACCAGCTAACTTTTTGTTGCTGGCTATCACGGTACTTCAGAAGCTAGACCAAAATAGGTGCAAAGCACTCACGATCATGCTGCGGACATGTCACCTTTGTATATTACTGTAGCAGGACGTTGAACTATGTATTTGTCATGCTTATTACAACTAAGGTATTTCTTCCTCTTAGCAGCTTTCCATAATTACCACGTTAATTCCTAAAGGTGTCAAGATAAACTTGTTACTTTTACTCAAGAGTAGTTTCCTCTGGACAGATGGTGGGAATTTCCTTTCCCGGGAAGCAATGATACGTGTATCTGTTATTCTAGTGCGTCTGAAATCAGAGCTGTTTGCTCTCTTACCCAGCCCATCGTAGACCTTGGTGAGCTCATCGGATCCTCGGAGACGGAAGATCCTGCACTGGCAATGACCGATGTGGGTCAGGGTACGGAGGAAGTTCAAGGACCCTTGGCCATGTGGGAGGCAGATGTTCAGCACATCGATCTGGAAAAGGGGAGCAAAGGACTTGGCTTTAGCATTTTAGATTATCAGGTAAATATGTTGTTTTTAGCAACTTTGTTTTAGAAGGTCACATGTGCTAAAAGTTTATTGTGAGTATCAAGTAAAACAATATTTTAGGATGATTTAGACACGTCAGTGACATTTCCTTGTTTGTAATAGATCTTTCAAAGGAGTCCTCCATGTAGCTTATTTGCTCCTTTGATGATCTGAAAGGGCTTCTTTTATCATTGACTTCAATGAATTACATTCTTAGAAATTAGAAGAAAGTGCAGAACACGTTGTGGGGACACTGTAGATAAGTACTTCTCTTTTCTCACATGGGGTGGGGGGGTGGGGCGTGTCTCAGTGTCCTTTATTCCCCTGTTTCCAATGGGGAGCTCGCATTGTAGGAAGGCTCAAAGGAAAGATCCTTATTTATTTTGCCAGAAGCGAGTGATAGCTTTATATCCCGATATAATTTAAATGCTGGCTTTCCCATTGAGCAGGTGCGGCCTGCCTCCTTACCCTGCATTATGCGCTGTGCTGAGCAACTGAGAAAACCCTCACCCCTGTCTGACGGAGCACAGCTGCTGCCCCTCATTAATTAATACTGAACCAGAAAGCTATCTCCAGTGGCTCTCGGGAGCTGTAATCATCCGAGGGCCTGATTCTGAAGGCTTGTTCTAATATTAAGAAGGCTGTCTAATCCTGTGTGGTCTCTTTCTATATTACCTCACCTCAAAAACAAGGACCTGGGCTTCAGCAGACTTAGAATGAGTCATGAGTCACACACACTAACGGATGATAGGACACATTTCTCGTAGTAGTATGTTGTAATGAGATTATGACAATTGTGTGATTAGAAATTAAAATTCCAATATTGAGGTGATCTATGTAATTTAGGAGGTTAATTCAGGAGCAGTGGCTATGTTTAATATATTTGTTTCTATTATTAAAGATAGTTGAAACAATGGCTCATCTGTTACTGTGCCTATCTGTTACAAGGAGAACACTATGGCATGTGTCACCGAATTGCAGTTAAATGCACTCTGGCGAGTTTCTGGAGCTTACTTCCCCTCCATCTTCCATGTGGCTAGGATCCAGTTGACCCAGCCAGCACTGTGATTGTCATCCGTTCCTTGGTGCCTAGTGGGGTTGCAGAGAAGGATGGACGACTTCTTCCTGGAGACCGACTCATGTTTGTCAATGACGTGAACCTGGAACACAGCAGTCTGGAAGAAGCTGTCCAAGCATTGAAGGGTGCACCGTCAGGAATTGTGAGACTCGGAGTGGCCAAGCCTCTCCCCGTAAGAGTTTGGGTTTTCTTGGCCTCTTTATATTTGTAAACCGTGTGGCTGAGGTATATAACTTCAGGTTCAGATGTTGTGATTGAACCATGGCTTTTGATAGTGTTCATCAATGTGGTGATTGGCTCCATGGATGTTTTGAGTAACATTTTTGAGGGGGGCGGGTGGGAGAACAGCCAGGATGTTAACATAATTTTAACTTCATTTGACATATTTTGACATATTTTAAAAGAGAGCAAGGTCATGATGAAAGCAGAATCAAATATTTGCAGATTTGGGGGAGACCATGAAAAATATATGTATGTAGAAAATAAGAAATTATCCTTAAAATTTGATATCAATATAGTAGAGTGCTAGATATATTAAGACATTAACCATTCAGAGTGAAATCTTTAATCAGAATGAAAGTTGAGCAGAATTTCTGTCTTGAGTCCCTGTATTCTGTTGCCTATAACACATTTTGTGTGGAATTACTGCACAGCCGAGACTGGAACTTTCTAAAGTTGGTTTATCAGATCGTGACTGCCCCCTGGGAGAAAATACTCCCTCGTATCATTAATTATGGTAATATTAGCAGAAACTACTTAATTTAGGCTACACATTAGCAGTTTCACTTGTTAGCTGTAATGATTACAACATGGTATTTATCACTTAACTGCAGTTAAATATCAGAGACATTCTCAATCTGCGTAGGTGTTTTTAGTGTACAAATACCTTTATAAATAGCTTTTTACAAATATACCTTCTCTTACAAGAACCAAAGATGTTTACATTATTGTATACAAATAAAATAAAGATTTGTTGATTTTTGTGGGAGAATATTTACAAAAATAAACTTACTAGTATGTTTAAAATATTTACTACTTCATTTGTGACCCACTTTGCATACACATATTTTCATAGTCTACCCGATACAAAGTGGGTCACAAATGAAGTAGTACAACAATGGCAAAAGAGAGAGACAGAGACATGGGGGAGAATAGAAGGGAAGGAAGAATAAGATTAAATGACCAAAAATCAAGTGGAGATTGTATGAATCAGAAAGAAAAAAAATACAATGAGTGATGTAAAATGAAGATAGGTCATTCTGAGACTGTAGATAGTTAATAAATGTGGACCATATATTTGATTCTGTCATTTTACTAAGAAATGCTAAAAATGGCAGAATAGTAGCCTTAAGGAGAAATCATGCCACCTATTGATAAGTAGCCTTAATATATATATAACTTATCTAGTCCCCAAATAAATTTCTTTAGGAGCCTATTTGATTGGCATTGCCCTATATCAGAAATCTCTCTTTTTCAGAGGGGAGGTCCAATGATCATTAAGCTTCTGTGTAACTTGAAAAGAGGCAACCATTTTCCCTCTAATACTTTCTCTGTGCGCATTGGTGACTTCAGGATGTAGAGTGGTGTAGGCAACAGCTTTAGCTAACCGTTTTCACCCATATGACCTGAGATCGAAATAAAAATGCTAGGTTTTCTATCACTCTCTTCAGCACTCCCATTTAAGAAGACTGTGTGTGTAGAGCTATTAGAAAGCCCTGGTAAATACAGGGACTGCTGTAGGCACTGTAACATTTCTTGCCAAGTAAGTTCCATTCTTTCAAATAATATTCTAGGAGGAATTGACAAGGAATGTGATTCCTCCAGGTGCTTTATTCTGCTTCTTCCATGCCTGTCCACATAAAAGTGACCGTATTTCCAGATGATGAACTCTTGTTTTGCTTAGACTCATTGGCAGATAAAAATGACTCAAATATATAAAACATTGATGTGGCTAAATCTTTATAAGAAAAAGGACAAACTTTGTAGAATAGAATTTTTTATCTAATATAAAATTTTGTTAGTAGAATAAATAACCTTGTTCCTTAACTCATACAAATGTCAACGATGAATAATCAGATTTTATACTCATCATTCAGTGTTAAAGTCTAATCCATTGAAAACCTTCCCATTATTTTTCCTTTTTCTCTTTTCATTTCTCCTCAACCCCCTCCCCACCCCTTCTCTCCCCTTCCCCTTTCTTACCCTCCCTCTGTTTCCGGAACTCGTCCTCCACTGCTGACCTTCATCTCCTGGCAGCTGTCCCCAGAAGAAGGCTATGTTTCTGCTAAGGAGGACTCCTTTCTCTATGTACCACACTCTCTTGAGGAGGAAGTTCTGGCTGACAAAGCCCTCTTCAGGGCTGACCTGGCTCTGGTTAGTGGCCACGACTTACCAAGCTTTCATTCAGAAACTTGTGTGTCTGGTTTTTGCTTTCCAAAATATTCCAAAGAAACCTTACTATGTCTTTGTCCATTGTGTTTTGGAAAACTACACATGTTCTCTTCAACTCAGGTTCTTGCAGTTGAAAATAGGTGAGGGAACAAGGTGTAATGTAAACATGAAAACTACCTGTTGGCCAATGAGAATGAAAATACGATGTACCAAAACCTGTGGGATACAGCAAAGGCATTTATTTATCAGAGGAAGGCTGATAGCAATAAATGCACACGTTAAAAAAGAAGAGAGACTCGTGGATGATATGCTGACACAAAAACTACACCAATTAGAGCAGAGGCAACAGAACGACCCTACTAATAGCAAGAGGATAGATATAATAAAAATCAGAGCCGAGATACAGGAGAGGGAAAACTATGGGAAATATCAATGCCGCTAAAAGTTGGTTCTTTGAAAGAATTAACAGAATTGATAGACCTCTGGTAAAATCTAACCAAAGAAAGGAAAGCCCAAACGACATTTGCATGGATGAGGGATGAAACGGGACATTACAATGGACCCTAATGAAATCAAAAGGATAATTGCACAGTACTATGAAGGTCTATACTCCCACAAATTCAACAATTTGGAAGACATGGACAAATATTTGGAAACACAATCCCTCTCTAGACTATCCCAGATGGATGTCTAGAACCTCAACAGACCCATAGCACTGGAAGAAATAGACAAGTTAATCAAGGGATTACCAACAAAAAAATCCCCAGGGCCAGATGGATTCACAGGAGAATTCTACCAAGCATTCAGGGAAGAATTGACACCAATCCCATACAAACTCTTCCAGAACATAGAAAAAGAGGGAAAACTCCCCAACTCTTTCTATGAAGCTAGTATAACTTTGATGCCTAAAGCGGGCAAAGATCCCACAAGAATCAAGAACTATAGACCAATATCCCTAATGAACATTGATGCAAAAATCGTTAACAAAATACTGGCCAATAGAATACAAAAGCATATTAAAAAAATAATTCACCATGACCAAGTGGGATTCATACCAGGGATGCAGGGATGGTTTAACATACGAAAGACCATCAGCATTATTCGCCACATTGGCAGAAAAAATGATAAGAATCACATGATAATATCGATAGATGCAGAAAAAGCATTCAACAATATCCAACACGCATTCCTGTTTAAGACACTTAAGAAGATAGGAATAGAAGGAAAATGCCACAATATTATACAAGCCATATATGAAAAACCAATAGCTAGCATGGTAGTTAATGGAGAAAATATGAAAACAATTGCACTGAAAAAGGGGACCAGACAAGGATGCCTCTTGTCCCCACTCCTATTTAATATCGTACTGGAGGTCCTAGCTAACAACATAAGACAAAGGAAAGATATTAAAGGTATTCAGCTGGGGAAGGAAGAGGCAAAATTATCATTATTCACATATGATATGATTCTATATATCAAAAACTACCTGTTGGATGTGTGGGGAAATTCAACTAGCAACACATTGAGTCCATAAGTAGAATTCATCCTTACATAACATCTGAAATTGCTGGAGGACCCATATGAATTTCTTGTTTCATCCTTGGCTATCTCTGGGCAGTCTTTAAATGTTTCCATATTTAGTCATGGCACTGCTGATTTCTTAGTTAGGGAACAGTTATTTTTTCTATGAGATATTGATAGTGTGAAAATCATATAAACTATGCAATTATTGATTAGGAATCTAAAAACTTCAGAATATGAGGGGGTACCCCCAAAAAACTGAAAAAATTATTTCAAAACTATGTATTGAAATAAAAAAAATCTTATCATCTTCAAACTACTCTCCATTACACTTAATACATTTGTCAAACATTCAATTCCGTTCTTGGAAACATTTTTCAAACTCTTCTGTTTGTATGGCTGACAGCCCCTCCCTCGTTTTTCCCTCCTCCTCTTCTATGGCCTTAATTCACTGTCCTTTCCTGTCCCTCTTCATTCTCGGGAGCAAAAGGAAGTCACGCAGTGTGAGGTCATGTGAGTAAGGTGTGTGGGGCAAGAGAGGCATGCTGGTTTTTGCCAAAATCTGGCACACTGAGATGGCTGCGGGAGTAGGTACAGTGTCATGGTGGCAAAACCAGTGCCCCGTCTGCCACAAATCAGGCCTTTTTTGTCTTACACTTACACAATTTTTTCAGCACCTCTAAATAGAAAGCTTGATGAACAGTTCGACTTGGTGGAATGAATTCCAAATGCACTATGAGTTGACATTTTCATCTATTCAGGAAGTTGACAGACGTCCAGAATGAGGTTTGTCACCAGGCGACATTTCTCCTTTCTGGAAACAAGAAAACATACACCTGAGTTTTTCCCGAAGCACTGTACTTGTGAGCTGCGTTCAACATCACAACAGTTTTTGGAGCATTTTTCCCGAGCAGGAAACAAAATCTCACAGCCACAGGCTGTTCTCTGAAATTGGCCATCACCAAAAAATGAGATTTGAGTGAAACTGGTTTTATGAAAACATGCACCGTGACCAGAGTCCCTTCCCAGGTGACGCCACTGGGCGCACTAAGAGCGAGTTGCTGGGTGCTCGCCTCGCTGGAAAAATGTGTGCTACGCAAGCTCTGCCCAGTGGAGCTCTTTTCCATGTTTTTGGCAGGGAGTACACCCTCATACATCAAAGTCATGGAAATATCATTGACTGAGAGGGTGATTTTAAATTAAAATGTGATTAATATTTAAATATATATGCTTGATATATAAAATCCTATTTTGGAAAAAATTATATTTAAGGTGCACTGGAGGCCATGTTAAGGATTCCTAGAGGTACCAAGGGATAAGCATTAAGTTGCTAACTGCAAGGTCGTTGGTTCTGAGAGGAAGACGAAGCTCTCTGCTCCCGTAAAGGCTTAGTCTGGGAAATCCTAAGGAATCGTTCTGTCCTTCCTGATCCGATCCCTGGGAGTGGGAATGAACTCTAGGGTGATAGATGTGATTTTTTTGAAGCAGTTTTAAGGAGTGCAGGTGCTGCCAGTGCTTCAGCAAAGATCGGCAGCGCTAACCCACCAGCAGCTCAGCAGGATGAAGGTGTGCCAGTTCATTCGCCTCTGTGAAGATGGACAGCCTCGGAAACCCTGCGTGTTGGTTAGTTCCACTGCGACTAAAGGGTCCTCATGAGCCAATTCAGAACTGAATCAATGGCAGGAAGTTGGGTTTGGAGACCTCTCTGATTACAAAACTAAATACAACATGTTAATGCCTTTGGATACAGCAATCAAGAAATAAAATGGCATATTGCATCGGGCAAACTTGGTGCTGAAGAGCTTTTTAACGTATCAGAAAGTAAGGTCTACATGCCCCTGAATCCCAATCCTGCTATGTTCAGCTGCCTCTGGTGCATACATAGCTGGAGAATGCAGAGAGAGGAACTGATGCACATGAATCATGGAGTTAGCAGATTGAATATTCCAAGTGGAATGCCTGAAGAACAAACAATTCTGTATTTGAAAAAAGTACAGCTGGAAGGGTTTTTGGAAGCAAGGTTGGCAAGACTTTATCTCAAGTGCTTTGGACGTTATCACAGCATCCAGTTCCTTGAGAAGGGCATCCTGCTGATCAGCACAAAAGAGGAAAACCCTCAATCATGTGGATTGGTGCCTTGCTGCTGGTAACACGGGGCTCAGCTACAGCAGTGACTGTGAGAAAGTATCAGCGCTGGGCGATGAATGGTTCACTCTGTTGGAACTGACTAGATAATACCTAACAGCAATACAAATAGAAGAGTAAACTTTCTATTGTCTCCAAACGTGTCCTCAGAAACAATTTCCCCTCTTGAATTTTTATTGTTCCCTCAAACCTCCTTCAATAACTGCCAGTTAACAGTAGTGAGCAGCAGCTTTGTCCAATGCAATCCATCATTTTGGAAAACTCCGCACCTTACGATGCTCGTCGGTGTCCTGGGTCTTTTCCCTGCTGTCCAATTGTGGGTTGGCCACTCAGCGTCTCTAGGCATTAACTCGTTTTATCTCTGTAGCAGTGTGATGAATGCAGCATCAAACTCTCTCCTAAGAATCTAAGGCATCAGCAATAGGCAAACACATTTTATTGGGGTAAGCTGTCTTTCATGTTACTTAAAACATTTACATAACTGGTAATAAATGATTCAAAGTTTAGTTATTAAAACATCTATCTAGATTTTTGTACAAGATATACATTTACAAATAGTACATCTCCACATAATAACTCACTAGTGAATAAGAACCCGCATTTAAAATATGTTCTTCGAGTAGTGAGGTTTATTTAAAGAGGGAGGCCCCTTGAAATGACCCACATGTATTTGTATTAGTTGCTTCTAAGAATGTACGGGGTATAATGTGATAATACTTCTAACTTGTCCTGGCTACGCAGAGGAGCGAAATCAAACAAATACTGCATATGGGATCTGCCTCCAAGACAGAAGATACTGAGCATGTCTGAGGACAGCACCTATATCAGTTCTGTTCCTTTGAAGATGGGACTGAGTGAATTTCAAGAACACTGTCAAGCTGGCCACGTTTTCCTTTGTTGTTAATGCTTTCACATGGACCTGGCACAGGAAACAGTAACAGGATTTCGAGATGTCATGTAGGGAGATTCTACCCCTCTCTCTGTGAGTTTTCCAACAATAGACGTCCAGAACTTAAAGCTTACCAGATTTCAGACTCCTCGTTAGCCACAGCAATGCACACAACAGTTGTGAAGATAGCTCAGGACCAGGCAAAGTTTTGTTTTGTGTTAAGGTTTTTTGAGCCATAACTGATTTAAAAGCATATAATTTTATCATGAAATCATAGATTTATGATTTCAAACTGTTTGGGTTTATCAAGTTCTAGATACTGTAGCTGGCATGGTCTAAACTGTGGTTAAAGAGAATGTCTAGAAAAGACACCGTTTTCATGGAGTGTGGTTGGACAATTGCTCGTGTCCTTGTGGAGTAGTAGTTTCAGGTGACTTGGACATGCTGTGGCCCCATTCATTTTTCATCGAAACTTCTAGGAATTGGGCAAGTGGTTTAAAAAAAAGACGAAGAACTGTCTGGATTGAGGAAAAGTAAATATTGCCCTTCCGTGACGAACTGTTGAATCTGAAGACTGACGTAGGCCCTTTGTGAAGTGCCCTCTGGCCCTTTCAATAACACAGGCAGACATGCTCGGCTGCTCTGGTCAGTCTCTGATGTGTCCGAGAGGCCGGAGAGGGCGGATAGGAAAGAAAACTGACCAGTCATTAGAGGCGCACACACAGAGGCTGCTTGCCATGCATTTCATAGAAGTGAATTGCCAGCTGACACGGTTGTTTTTATTTCCAGGTGGACACAAATGATGCTGACCTGATCGATGAGTCCACGTGTGAGTCTCAGTATTCGCCTGATAATGAGAGTCTTTACTCAGCTCCAGCCTCTCTTCTGTCGTCTCTCCAAGGGAGTGCTTGTAGCGATGGGCTGAACTATGGCCCCTCTCTTGCTTCATCTCCTCCTAAGGTACACAGCAAATGCCATTTCATCGATGGCAACACCTGGATGTTCCTATTCCAGAGGTCAATTTTCTGGAGGGTGGGTTTGGGCCCACGTTAGAGACATTATATTTCACTAGTCTAGGATCTGTTATCAGATAAACGTGTAGTTTCATGTAGGCAGTGCTGCTATGGTCTCTTTGAGATCACTCCAGCCTATTTAAATCTAATGTCTATAAATCAAAGCGATAAGCCTGAGGGTCCAAATTTTGATTTTGATTTTCAGAGTAGAAAATAAATAACATTTCCCAAACTGTGTCTACACTTTGGGAAAATGACAAAAGTGAGTTTATTTTCATATTGGCTTTCAAATCCACTTTCTTGCACTGTAGGAGTATAAAGAATGTATTACTTGCATTAATGTAGCACTTACTAGCTCCGATAAGCTTGATGCTTTCATATGTTTTTATATGAAATGATACTAAAGTAAAAGAATGCATAAAGGTTTGTCTCTAGATATCAATGAAGACTTTAGTTACTATGTGACATATCTGGGTCCCCTAGATTTTAGAAATAAATTACCATCATGACCAAATTACCATAATTACCATCTATGATGTTCAATATGTAAGACTTTAAAAGCCATTAGAAGGGACCAGCCTCAGTAGACGGACATCATGGTTAGTAAAAAAGGGGGAAAAAAACCCCTCAAGTCGATGGATTGATGGACACAGCCTCACAAGGACCGTGAGGGTGCCTCTGGGACAGGCGGGGTTTCCCTCTATGGACCACATGGTCGGTTTGAGGTGGAGCCCATTTGTCAGCCCCCAGCAGCACCATCTCTCCTTTGGGTGTGAAGTCGGGTTTTCCTCTTTAAGGTGGACTTCCTGATAATTAGTGAAGTTGTACACTTTTTACTTATGGGCCAAGTAATCTTCACCTCCTGCCAATTAACCTCTTCATCTCCTTTGACCATTGTTGTGGTGGCTATTTCTGTATTTATTTGTTGGACTTTTTAATAATTTCTGGAAACTGGTATCCAAAACAATGCAGCATGCAATTTAAGCGTATGTGTGTAGAAAAGAAAGCTGAATGTGTATGGGCATGATCGTTTCCTCCGAGAGAGAAGTTTGGGCTGGGGTAGAAAGATGGGGATTTAGCTGTTCTTTGTGGTGCATTGTGTCCTTTTGAAAAAGATATGAAGGAAATATGGCAAAATCTTGGCAAAAGTACATACATAGGGGATTTTTTTACATATCTGTGTTGGAAATATAAATAAACATTAAAATTAAGATAAACAGAATAATCATTTTTTTAAAATGTGATGGCATATCCATTTCTATTCCCCTCTCCCCACAACCCCCCTTCCCCCCAGAATTCGGTGGCTAGAAAGTCTGCATTTGTGAGCATATTGGAAGGTGGAATTTCCATTGGGCTAACATAGTTTTCTTCCTTTGTTGAGTCATGAATAAAACATTTTTTCTAGGGGCTGGTGGGGGGTGGGAAGGGGCAGAACATTTTCAAAGCATCTTCTTTTGTGTTCGAGGTGCACCTGTTATCCTTGCAAATGATGCTGGGCCTTCTCCTAGAATCCGTTCACAAGGTAGAGTCTTGAAGGGAACAGCTGCTAGCCTCTCCGCACACCTGAGCCTTTCTGGCTGGCTGTGTCCTGCCTGGAATGTGTTCACTCTTTACTGGCCTCGGGGCTGGAAGCTGAGTTCATCTCCTAATGGAATCTCCTAATCCACAGCACAGCACACTTCTTCTTGCCAGTGGGACAGATTTCATTGTTTAATTTAGTAATTGTTACTTAAAGGGATTACACAATCTGCATACTGAGAAGCATATATTTTATAGGGCAAATGCTGGCTGTATACAGCACAACAGATTGGCTCACTGAAGTCTGCGTGCCTCCTGTTTTGTTGCTTTTGTTTTTGTTGTGTGTTTTTTTCCCCTTTCCCAAGCAGTTTACTCTTTTGTTGAAGCAAGTTTTGGCAAGCTAGCCTATCAACTGACATTCTTAAACTCCAAACAAGGAAGAAGGCATGAATGGGGATGTTTTAAAAAACACAACGTGAAGCTTCTGTGTGCAGTTATCTCAGAAAGTAGTTTTTTTCCTGCATCCTCACCAATCTGTTTGCTGGTGGCACCTACTAAGTACTCCCTCAGGGGCATAGTGGATGCTACACTGGACAACTAACTGCAAGGTCAGCGGTTTAAACCTAACCACCTACTCCTCTGGAGAGAGATGAGGTGATTTGTCCTTGTTAAGATTTATAGCCTCAGAAGCCCTAGGAAGCAGCTCTATTCTGACCTGCAGGGTCACTACGAGTCAGAATCCACTTGATGGCAGTGGGTTTGTTTGTTTGTTTGTTTGTTTTATTGAGTACCTAGATGAATTTCTGTAAACGAACAGAACTAGATGGTGTGAGACTAAATGGCGATTGGATGTGGAATTCAGGGGAAAATTTAGCTCATTCCTATATTTCATTAACTGACAATACACATTTATCCCCTGCCGTCAAGTCAGTTCCCTGGCTTTGCAACCCTGGAGGACAGTCGAGCTGCTCCCTAGGGTTTCTGAGGCTGCAACTCTGCACAGATAGACAGAACTTACTGTTGGGATTGAAACACTAACCTTTCTGTTGGCCGAACCATGCTTATCCCAGAGAGCTACCGGATACTAGATGATGTTTAAGAAGATCCAACTCCCTTTCATATTGATTTCATTTTATCCTGTTTTATGTTATCTGCGCTTGTTCATATTAGGGTGTATTAGGGTGCTATGCCATTGGGGTCACCCTATTGATGTTATGTTATTTGTTTTTGGGTAAATGAAGTCCAGAATTGATGAGCCTACAGGGACAGCAAATAGAACAAGGGTTTTCTTGGGGGGTGGGGTTGAGGGCAGTTACAGGGTGTTGGGGGAGATAAAAGGGAGATGATGTCAGGGAGTCCAGGAAGGAAAAGTATGTTTGGTGACTGAATATGGAAGCAATCATACAATTCTGTTTGATGTGCTTAATTATGGAATGATATGACATAGGTATTAACTCTCAAGTAACAACAAATTAAAAGGAAAACAAACAAACAAGCATAGATCCAGAAATGGGTTTCGGGCTCACACGAAATCCTAGCTCCAACTTAAGAACAATTAGTTTTTGCATCAAGGCCCTGCCTGATACTTGTCCTCAGGAAGAGAACACAGAAGATACGGTACTGCAGCAAACTGTGGCGAAGAATTTAGGTGGTGCTATCCGATACAATAGCGTCTTGGGTCTTAAAGGTTTGTCTTCAAGCAAGCAGCCATCTAAGTAAGATGTCAACGAAGTCCACATGGAAGAAACACACCATCAGTCACCGAAGGCTAGGCGTCCATGTAATTCGAAGTCAGAGGAGGGATCGGTAACACACCCTAAACTGTGAGGATCCGGTGTGCAGAAGGCTATGCATGACAGTGGGAGACCAAGATACATTTGTCGAACTGCACAGAAAATAAGCCTCCAGAGAACTCCCCCTATCTAAAATTGAGGGATGGTAGGAAAGTAGTCACTAAACAGAGCATGTGAGAGAGATGAGTAGAGAAGATCAAAGGCATAAACCTGACTTGAACAGTTAAAACTTCCTGAGTAGATTCCCCCCTCTGATGCAGGCCGGGCCTGGTCTGATTTCCAAAATTTTCTGTATTTTTGGTTTGTTTTGTTTTGTTTGTTCATATTAGAGGGAATCTCAGAGGTGCTAGATCATAGGAGGTCACCTTCTTGAAATTATATGTTTGGGTTTTTTTTCTTTCTGTTTTTCAGTATAGAAACCCAGGATTGATGAAGCTACAGGGACAGCAAGCAGAACAAGGGTTTCCGGGAGGGTGGGGCAGTGGTGGTGGTGGTGGTGTAAATGGGAGAGGATGTCAAGGGGTCCATGTAGAAAGAATTCCTGGAAACTGATTGTGGAAGTAATTGTACAATTCTACTTGATGTGATTGAATTATGGAGTGATATATGTATTAAACCCCAATTAATTATATATATATATGTATATATATGTATGTATGTAAAATGCATGCAAAAGTTAGGCAATGAAGCTGACATATCAGGGGCTCACGTGGGAAGAGAATGACTTGGAGATGATAATGGCAGCATATATGCAAATGTGCTTGACACCCTGCATGGATGTATGGATTGTGTTAAATGTAAGAGCCCCCAATAAAAATACTTTTTTTAAAAAGCAATAACTAAGGGAGATCCGAGATGGATGCATTTGAAGAATATTGAATATGCTGCAGATAATCAGAAGAATGAACAAATTTATCTTGGAAAAAGGACAATCAGAATCCTGCTCCTGGCCGTATTCTGAGTGTTCCGAGAGAGATGAAGCTCCGTGAATGCTAAGACATGCATGGACCTTGCAAACATTCTGCTGAGTGAAGTAATTCAATCACAAAAGGACAGATGTTATGCGATCTCACTTATATAAAATATTTAGACTAGGCAAATGTAGAAACAAGACAAACGTAACTGTCCTAGAATCTCTTCTAACTCATTGTGAGCTTAAAGGACAGAACAGAACAAGTGCCCCTGTAGGTTTTTGAGAACAAATATGGAACCGTGGCTGGTAACCAGGGGTGAGAGGGAGTGAGAAAAGAGAAGTCAAAGCAAAACATGAAAACTGTGTGAAGTAACTGGCATTTGGATGCTAGTTTATTTTCTAGACTTACAATAAAAATACCTTTTATTTAAAAAAAGAAAAAAGATACAACTTGTTTTATATTGATATTAAAGGAGAGTAGAGTGAAAATTCAAGGATTTTCATCTTCTTTTTTTGTTGCTAATTATATAAAAAAAACATTGTAGCCTTCCATGGAACCTGGAAAAGGCCAATCTGAGATGCCTTTCGGCATTGGTCAGGTCTGCCATCAGTGGTGGTAAGCCTTCTGGAGCAGGGACTCAGCGAAGAGGCAGGCCCCCTTATCGGAGCTCACACCACCCCTTAGAAACCAAAGTGCTACAGCTCCCCTTCATACAGTGCTGC